TTTCTGTTTCAAGGCAGCTGTAGGCAAAGCATACCAGAATATCTCAGCTTTTCTACTTTGTTATAGAAGATTGCCAACAATAAAGAGTGAATAAGCTTTTCACATTTGCCAAGCTGTACAAAAAGTGAGCAGTCCAAGTACCTGTTTTGACTTCTTTGCTGGTCTTGTCTCCTTTGGTTTTGTTGGTGAGGCACAGAAAAGTAGCTCCAAGCTTGCGTAGTCAGGCTCTACAAGCTCCTTGCTGCCATTTGGTACCACAGCCCACATGGAGCGGCTTTCTAGAAGAGATCAACACTTCAAGATGGATTAACAGAGAGAGGAGCGCTTTCAAGGCACCGTGATAAGTAGAAATAAAACAGAAGGTAAGCAAAACGTGACCATGGAGGCATTTAAGAGATGAGTGAACATAGCACTAAGGAACGTAGTTCTGTGTTGGGACTTTGGAGGTCATTTTAATGGATGGATTTGGTGATCTTGAAGCTCTTTTCTAACCTAGATGATTCAGTGACACTCATTAGCCCTGGTCTACTGTTAATTATTGAAGATTTGCATACACCAAAGACAGCCTCCTAAATGTTTGAAGGATAATTAAATCTGGAAGACTATCTCCACATGTGATTCACTAAAATGAAGGCAGCAGCTCAACTCAATTGTTCTTTTTACTACTACTACTACTACTACTACTACTACTACTACTACTACTACTGATGGACTACCCAATGCAGAATTGTGAGAGCCACACAGGGGATGTTGCATTAGTTAAATAAACTTAAGTATCTCTGGACAGAAAATAAAAACTCCAAAACCCTGGGTTATTATAGGATCACTAGAAGCCACCTGAATAACACAAAGCACTTCAAAGTATGAACTTATCTACAACACTGGAATCTTTAACAAAGGATCTCACCTCCTTTTTCTTCAGGAGAGATTGCAATAGTATAACTGAAGATGTTAGATTTGAGTCTGAATTTGGATCATGACCTAGAGAAGACAACTTGAGCCCAAACTGTTTTTAGCATGTGTATTTATATGTTTTATCATAACAGCAAGTTCGTAGCTCTCTGATTTCCCCCTTTCTTTGTGACAATGGAGAACTCTTACAACATGTATCATGAGTTCTAAAAGCTGCAGCAAAGTGGAAACTTTCAGCGTTCTCTTTGCTGAAAGGGGAACAGGCCATGCAAAGCCCTTTGTCAGATCACATTAACCACAAACCTTAGTGTTATTTTTCATGGAAAAAAAAAATGAAATTAAAAAAAAACACATAGCAGTGGTCAGAACAAAATGAAGTTGGAAGCTATATCCTGCCCTGAGCCTATGTGTTCCTCAGCCCTATTGACAAAGGTTTTCCTGGATGATGCATCTTCTGGCTGTGCAAGGGAAAAACAAAACAAAAAAGTAGTAAATGCTTCAGCTGAAACAGCAGTCAGGGATGGCATGCCAGGAGTTCGTTAGAAAAAAAGCTCAAAGAATCTCAGGGCATTGCTTTTCCACACATCTTTCCACTCAGTGCAATTCAGTGGGTTTTGAAAACCGTAATTAAACTTAACAGCATCACCTAACAATGCTGTGGAAATTAAGAAAAAGAGAAAAAGACATTTTAGTGGCCAGCAGAGCCTCAATTCAGTGCTTTGCCCAAACTATTATTTCTTTCACTTTGTCCAAATTTAGTGAAGAATTTGGCTTTCCCTACCTGTGATTATTGGCTTTTTTTTTTTTTTCCTGTAGGACAAAGGTTGAGCAATAGGAGCACTTGTATGACCTGACTTGCTGAGCCAAAGCCTAGCTCCCAACATTAGCATCAGCCTGGTTGTTACAAATAGGCACGTACGTCTCACCACGTCAGAGGGGAGCTTCTGCCAGTGAAACATCTTCATCCTTAGCTTCGGTGTCTTCTTAGGGCAGGGCTGCTTGCTGTATCCACAAGTAAAATGACTGCACTCAGGATTACTGCAGAGCTGGGGAGGTGGGAGTGATGGTGCATTTATGCCAGGCATGAGAAGGGGTGGGGGAGGAATCTTACACCTAGGAGGAAGGAATGGAGATGGTGGAAGCAATGGTAGCAGAGCTGGCATAGCAGGCTGCCCTTGGGAAGGTGAGGAGACACCTTGCTGGGGTGGTGACGTGTTCCCTGGACGTTGCTGAGGCTTCTTGGAAAGGCTGATTTTTGGAAAAAGAGTCAAATCTATACTAGGATTCTCCACTTCCAAGTCCATGTCAACCTGAATGCATTTGTTCACCTTCTCAACAGATCTTCTGGGTAGTGATTTGCGGTGATTCAGGCACTGTGTGCTTGTTAGCAGGTTCTTCATGCTGTCCCTTGGTTCCATATTGCTGCCCTACGAGACCAGGAGGAAATGCATAAATTAACAAGGTTCCCCACAGCTGTTGGTTACTGCAACACCTACAGAAAGACAGAGAATTAGCAGTCAACTTCCCATCAAGACAGATAGTATTTTTTGTAATCCACCAGTAGCATTTCACAGTTGTTTCAGCTCTGTGAGTCAGTAGCAAGACAGTACTTCTAAGATAAGGCTCATTTGGGTCTTTTGATCCTTCTACTTTCTTGTTCTGACATAGAAAGTTAGGAAGAGCAAGTGCCATCAGCACTATAAATCCCTACCTGGTTGCTTTTTTGGCCCTGTTACTCAGCCGTTCAGTGGAGTTCCTCTTTTGAAGAGGGAAATGAATGCTTCCTGCAGGTGCTGTGCTGTGCGCAGGGGACTTCTCAGGCAGCAGGGACAGAGTCACTTATTCCTAAGAGACCACATTACCACAACTTAGAAGGACTGCAGAAGGGTGGGGATTTTGAGAGAAACATTAGCCTAATAAATTAAACAAGCTGCAGCTGAGGAGAACTCAGCTGAACTGCTTAGAGAGTTGTGATCCCCTAGGGAAAGGATTGGGAAGAGTAAAAATAAATAATATTGTCTTATTTTACCCTTTAACCATATTTTAAGCTAGGGCAACTTTTTATTTTTGCTCTGAAATTGTAGAATTTTTCTCAAAGCTTCTTGTACAATATTACACAGAAGTCTCTATTTACTTGCATGTCTGGTTTTAGACATGGAACTGGATCTGCTAAGGTTAGCAGGGGCTACTTGCTGGTTTGTGGTCATATTTTCTTGACTGAATTATTCTTTCTTTAGCAAACAGTTATATATTTTATGCCCAAATAACTTCCTAGGATACTTACACTTAAGTAACTGAAGTTGCCTTGTGATTTCTCTCTTAATTTCCATAGTAATGGCTATCAACGCTGGTAGAAACACCCCATGTTGATAAGGGAGTGATGAGCAAACCATCAGCGTTCCACAAGCGGCATAATTAGTGGCTATATGTAGAAGGAAGCCAAGTCCTCTGTTACCCCAGTCCTTGCACAAGTCTTTAACAAAACAAATTTGAACAGTATAAGCAGTTCTGATGGAGTCAGCTGGATAAACACTTTCACTTTTACACTCAGCACAGGATCAGTTGGGAAAATACCATGTTTATACTCCCAAAGGACTAGATTAACAATTATGAATGACCATTTTCTTCCTGGTCCAGCAATTCTAAGTAATGACTTTTACGGACAAAATTATCTTAAGGGAGCTGCGTTAAAGCCTACAATTGAGGCTTTTCTATTCTAGAGTGCTCCTCTAAAGCATCTCCTGTGATTGAAATAGTTTGTCTTGAAAGCCTAGCAATTTGTATTGATGATAGCATCCAGCCCTAATGACAGCCTCGGTAAAACTGTGAACCAGTGAATCCAATGCATAAGGAAGATAGAAATCTTTCGCTTTAAATTTTAATCATAATTTGGCGATAAACGATTTACACTAAGAAACGTTAAATATTAAATCAGCTGGAAAATAACTATTGATTTACACATGAAATGGAAGGTAGATGTAATAGCTAAGCCAAGGAGATATAACAGAAAATGAGAAATAACTGTATTTTCTGTTTACTTGAATTAATTTTAGTTGCCATTCATAAACATATTTTTTTAGCACAAATAAGCACTAACACTTTCCCAAAGGTAAAGCAGGATTACTTTTAATTTATGTAAATGACTTAATATATCCCCCTCAAAGCCTCACTATTTTTCTGCTGAACTTGTACAGATGTTTGTTATTACATTAACAAACCTCGTCCCAGGGGGACAAGGGAGAGATTTGGTGCTACGAAAGAACCAATGAGGAGCTACTCATTTTCTGCCAAAAATATTAGGAGTAAAATGACAGAAAATCTGATTAGAAATAATATAGTTAAAATTTTGCTGCCTATTTATATTAATTAAGCCATTAGAAGAATCAATAAAGCACCACTAATTAGGAAGGTTTTTCTTCCTTCTAACTAGACCCTTCCTCTAAATCACAATAGGCATTGTATAAAGGAAACCTTTGTTTTGTAAAATAAAAATATTACACAAGAAACAACAAATATGCTTTGAATGATAAACAGGTTTATAATAACTAATAAAAGATTACACTTCTGAGACTAGAGAAATTCCTACTTTTGAAAGATTAGAGCTTCAGTATAGCTTCAAAGCAGAAATAACTTACATTGCTGATACTGTTCAAATGAGCTCATGAGTATGAAGGAATTTTACCATCTCATGTAAATATATGCACACGTGTCAATGCAACCAAGTAAGGATGGGCTTGCTCCTGAAAGCTATGAAAGCAAGATAATTGTTTGAGACCATTTAGGCAAGGCAGGGAATGGAGACCAATTCAATTCACCATTCTAATTCTGATGATACAGTTGAAATCAATTAATTTACAATTAACTTTGAAGTTGTTTTCTGTACTTTGTTTGAGGACTACTACAACATAGACTCTCTTTTCTACTTGCTTACTAGTGCACTGAAAATGTACATGCTTCTTGTTTAGCTCGGAAAGATGAGTTGCGTTTTGATAGGCTAGGATATAAGCTTTTAAGTTTGATCAGAAAATCTGCTTAACCTCTACGTCTTGGGCCACATGAGTGCTCTCATTTTCTTTTTCCTTTTTTAGCATTACTGATGAGCTGATATGGGGCTATGTTATCAGGTAAAAGCTAGTTTTCTTTCTAGCTAAAAGCTCTTCTATTAGTCGCTATTATGCTAGAAGTGGAGATTCCAAGAAGCACTTCACAAAACCTGGTATTTGCCCTTGTAAGTCATTCCCAATTAGAATATAATTTGAAGTTGATTAAAAACACTATGTCTACAAACTTTCAAGGTAACAATCAAAAGAATATGCAATGAGTCAATTTGTGTAGCTTCAGATATTTTAGACGTGCTGTTTGCTGAATAGCTAAAAGTGAGCTATAACCACGGATAGCATTAATCAGTCATGCAAAACTGAGGTCCTTCACTAGTACAGAGCTGTTGCTCAGTGCCTCCTGATAGGCTACACTTGCTGTGGTTTGGATTTGTGTTCTTGATTGCAGTAAGAGACTTGTCATATCCCCCATTGTTGACTATTTAACAGACGTGATTTAACCTTGATATTTAAGATTACTACAATGATAAAGAAGTTAAAGAAATTAGAGATCTATATTTTTTCTTGCTCAGACAATGTTTATTGAGTATCGTGTTGTCACAAGGCTTCCTTTCATCTACATTCCTACTGTTTACAAGGGTTTGCTCCAATCTGATTTCAGGTCTTACAATTCTTTGTTCCTTTCAAATTTGTTATAATGACAAATGTCTTCTGATGTAACTGATTTTGTGCATTATTAAAATTATCTCTTTTGTTATATTGTTAATCAACAGTTGTCAAATTGTTACCTACTGCTCCTGTTTCACAAATGGGGAAACTGTGGCAGAGAAATGATTTGCTTGCAACCAGGGCTGCCAAGTCTATGCATTTGATGCTTCTAGGCTCAAGCCTAGTGATGGAGTTCCCTAGTTTATGGGAACTGGCTGCACTTCTTAGCAGCTGGCAGAACGATAGGAACCTTGGGATCTGCTGTAGGTGGAGTCTGGGCTAGCAGCAGCTGTGGATGGCTAACACTGAGTGAAACTGTGCTAAGACCTCTGAGCTGGTCACTGTGTGCTGGGACAGAGAGGCGAGGCATTTCAACCAATGAGCCATGCAATAAGGTGTGAAGATAGGAGATGTATTGTAGGACTAACTCAGGACTTGGTGGTAAGTAGGGATGAACTTTTCAAAATGAAAGGGAATTTCATGAGTTACTTTAGTAGGGGCTTATACACATGAAGGGATTGCTGCAGGATATAATAGCTTTAGTCTTTAGTTGTTTGCTAGATTTGGGATAGGTCATGGTTTGGAAAAGATTACTATATTAGCTGCCATTTGATCTAGGTGTGGTTATGCAGACTTGGGCAGGTAGATGTGTCTTGTGGAGCTCAGGATATCTTTTCTATCCTCTAGACCTCTGGAAGAAAATAGAGCAGCTGAAATTACCTGGAGGCAAAAAAAAGTCCTTCAGTTCTTTTCTTCCTAGGATCCTTCCTATTGAGGTGATATTTTAGAGAAACAAAGCATGTATAGCTGAGATCCAGGATGGGTTTGTGGACTGCCAATGCAATGAATATACTGTTATTTTAGGGGCATATATTTTTGAGCATTATCATACTGTTGTTTCACCAGAGAGACTCGAAGTATAAACCTGAAAGATTTTCTAGAATCCTATGACTTGCCTTTTTTTTTTTTTTTTTTTTTTTTAATTATTTAGAACTACTCATTTCAGTTTCTTGCTAAATCAAGAAAATTACGAATATTTGTTGGGAAGTACATTGGACATCATTTGTCCAAGCTCTCATTCAGAGAAGGACTGTCACCCCCACCACTAGAGATCAGCTCAGCTCTTGTTTTGTCTGACTGAGCCATGAAAGCCTTGAAGAGTGGAGATTATGGGATGTGGCAGTCTATATAGGAAAGGTCTGTTGGCCACAAAGGATAGCTCTTGAATATTGGGTGCTATATTGGGTTTTATTTTGATTACAAAATAGACTTCTGTATTTCAAAGGATTACAGCAGCATATGCAGATTTTTCTCCCTTTTGCCTGTGCAACCTCTTTTTTTTCTTTCTACTCTCTATCTATTCTGACTGCTGGATTTGGTAATTGCTTGTCACCAAATCATGGCTAAACTCATTGCAGATTATGAAGCTGCTTAAGTGCTAAACAAGCACATCAGGGTCTGCATGCTGAGAGCTAGGCAACTGTATGTGATGTAGCTGTCAAAAGCAAAGCGTGTTGATTCTAGAAGAAATCCTGCTTTGACAATCTGGGAGTCTATCAAAACTGACTTGATAGGAGCTGACTGTCACAAGTAATTTTGCCGACTTTGAGTAACGTAGGCTGAGTCTGCTTGAAGTCTCCATTAGAAAGAGAGCTGTTAATTCCTGCTGCCACCTGGCTCTGTGTGAATTGTCACACTGAGTTCTTGCAGAATTGTACATCCCCCAGTAAAGAGTCTCTAATATGAATTAAGAGCTAGATCAGCATGGATGAAAGAGTGAGTTAAACTTAGTGCTAAAAATGCTGATGAACTTGCAGTGATCTGTGGAGAATCTGGTATGGTATGTGCTCTACACTACATAGGTGGAACTCTTTCTCTTTACAACAGACCCACACTGCCATTGCAAATCCTGCTGTCCCTACACAGAATAACCACTAATAAGAGACTCAGCAAGGTCCTGTCACTATTGCTGCCTAATTTTAAATACTCTGTAGTCAAGTTTCTGAATGTGGCAAAGCTGTTTTTCATACCCTGTCTACAGTGTGATTGTGGGGTGACTGAACAAAATGGTGGTTTATGATGGAATTGGTTCATGACTGTATTTGCTTTCAGTAGAATTAGGTGAATAGAGTTCTGTGACTATCTTGTTACCTCATATTTTGTTGTTGTTGCTGCTGCCATATGTGTAGATTGAGTGAGCTAGAATTGGTACAGTGTTGGTTATTAAAAACCAGTAAGCTTGTATACATGGTAAGTTTGTATATCAAAACTTGTAGGCATGAAAAATTCTGGTGAATAATAATTTCCATAAAATAAAGAGACTTGTCAAGTACTTTGACTTCTTTTATTCTAAATTTTGAAATATTTTCAGTAATGAAATTAAAACAAAAAAGCACTGAAATTCCAATTCCAGCCTTTAAAACATATTTCCACATTTTGATGCGAAGTACTTGGAAAAAACTTCTGCAGATTTCATCCACAACTTCATTTTTATCATACAAACAATGCTTATTTGAGGAATATGCAGTTACTTGACAGCGAGAAACTTGTGGTGCTCACAGGCTGGTTTACGTAATGGACTCCATGTGCATTTGCTGTAATATAACCACAGGAATTCTTTTCTGAGGTCCAAACTCACTGTTGGCTTAAACGAAAACATACCTGTTAAAATAGCTGCAAATTGCATGGCTTTTACCAGCAACTGATTTGGTCTTACAAACACTGAAAAATGAACTTCTAAAGTGACAAATAGAGAAAAACTGCACATCCCAGTTGAGCGTCTTTCTTTGAGTTGCTCTGACTCCATCCCCCTGTTCTTGCTAAATAATCACAGTAATGGAAGCAGAGCTGCTTTGGAGTAATACATTATAAATGCTGTGCTTTGATCTGTTGATTGGGATTTGATTTTAACAGACAATTTATTATAGTTTTCAAAAATGACTGCGGAACAAAGAACCAGCAGTGGCTCAAAATACCAGTTTCTCCATAAATGCTTGAAGGCAGTGGGAACATAATGCCAAACACCCTCTCTTTGGAGGCCCTCAGCAGGTAACACCAAAAAGCCTTGCTTGTTCCCAAATACTGACAGCAGTTTTGTTCCTATCGATAAATCAGCAGGGTGGGCTGGAGGAGGCTGGCTGCCCTCTGTGAATCTGGGCTGCAGGCTCCTGCTGGTAACACACAGAAGGCAAAGTTGCTGGGAAAATGTTTGCTAGTTGGACTTTGGTAGGCTGGAGTCTAATGTGAAAAAGAAAAACTTGATTAACAAGCAAGAAGAACTGATTCTTGGGTGATGCACTCAGAGACTGAAATAGAGGAGAGAAAAAAAGGAGAAAACTTTTAAAATGTGACACAGTGGTCTCACATGTCAAACCTGGGGTGGGTTATGTGGTTTTGCAGCTTGCTTCTGCCAGCCAGGAACGTGAATTCAGCTGCAACGCAGTTGTGCTGCTCTGTAAGGCTTCCTGAGCTGAGTCTGCCCATGCACCTACTCCAAACACATCTTTGCTTTTGTTAACAATTCTCAGTAACAATGCTTTGGTTAAAATAAACCATTGATTTAATTCTTGGCATAACCTTTACCTCAGTCCAGCAAAGTCTTTGATGTTGCAAGGATGTCGCTATTCCTATAGAGCAAAGCAAAATAAGGTTTATCCTGAACATTAGTCTAGACAGAGCAGGTTACCATATAAAGGCATAGTTCTTAAATATAACAATCTCTTCTGCTTGATTCCTGTTTCAGCACAGTATCACACCATAGATTCAACAAGCATAGATCATTTTCAATTGACAGCTATGTACACAACTATGGTACAACGTTATTACAAAACTTGAGAAATAAAGCTCTGAATCTTTAAAAACACAATACTGCACGTTCCCAGTTTCAAAGCAAAAGTAATGTGAAAATACACGTTCTGCAGCTTGAATGCAAAGACTTAAGAGTGCAAGCAGCTGAGAATGGGATTTAAACCCGGAGACTTACTAAAGGATGAGCTGAAAAAGTGTTTAACACAGTACCCTGGAGAACTTTTTTCTTTTGACAGGAACTGGAGCCCTACTTCTCCAAATTTTATGTATGTAGCTGTACATGTGAGATTACTGCAGGACCACAGCCATGCTTCAACTTAATTGCACATACGTGTTATCTGGTAGCCAGATGTTGTTTACACAGCCATATGTTGACCGAAATGCGTATTTTTGTTGTTGTTCTTGTAATTGATTTTGCTCGCTTTAAGTGATTGAGAACACAAATACATTTTGGGTCTTGGTCCTGGCCAGATAAGACTGAGTGTGGGCAATGAAATGAGGGATAACGCTTTCCCCTGTGAGGGTATGGCCGCTGCTGGATTCATACCCTCCATTTATTTGAGGCACTGCTATTTTTAAAATTTCCCTAGGGTTGAACACTGGGCCGCATTCTGCCATTGTGTTAAGAGAAGTTTGGCTTAAGAGCAGGTAGGGATGTTGGGCATTAGGATGGAGGCTGGTAAGCCTGTGCCTTCCCTGCTGCTGCATCAATCTGGACCATGACCCCACAGACACCCCCGGGGCACAACGCAGGTCACGTAAGGCACGGGCTGAGGGTGCTGAAGCCTCCACGGCGGCTCATTGGGCCTTTGGGCAAAGGGTGGAATGCTGCATCAGGAGGAGTGTGATGTCCAGTCAGAGCAGGAGGCCTTCTGGTGATGCAGAGCCTGGCTTCCGAGAGGCTGGCAGTGCTCTGGGGATGAGTTAGCATGTCTCCGGGCCTCCGTTATTTCTTCTGCCTTGATGTGATGCCTGCAGGAGGAGGGGAAAATACAAACTGTTCGCACCTCTAAAGTGAGAGTGGTCTGGTTTGTTGTGTGGATTGGTTGTGGTACTAACTCAGGTAACTTCAACTTCTAGCACTGACAGTTTTTATATATTTGCTACAAACCTTGCTCGCGTTTCTAGGACTGATACTGATGTTGAAGAGTTTGGGCAGCTCTGTTCTTGAGCTAGGCAACAACGTGAGTCCTGTGTTTTGCAAGCAGAACGTTGGTATATGGATCTACATGTGAAATTGCTGAATTAATAAATCTGGACACCCATTTTGTTTTGTCCAGTGTCACCATCTGCTGATGTCAAATCAAACCTGTGTGTGGCGCTTCATGAAGTTGAAGAACATCTCCCACCTTGTGTGAGAAATGCTACTGGGGAACAGAGCTGGGTCACAGCCATGATCCTGGGACTTCAGAGGGCACAGACAAACTTTCTGTCACAGCATGATAGAGCAAAATGTGTGTATTGTGCCTTCGCTGCCTGACCCATGGGTAGGCTCCCATCTGGGAGTGTTTCTTGAGAGAGTTCGGGCTGTCAGAAGGAAAGAACTGTGTGTTGTTGATTTAAACACCAGTCCCACTCAACAGCTGAAGGAAATACCATTTCTAATGACAGATATGATGGCAAAGGTTGCACAGGAAGACAGCCGTTAGCTTGATCACATTGCTTTGGTTCATTAGAAATCAGCCCACAGACACCACTGAGTCTGCATGGGGTGTGGTGAAGCATCTAGTTGTCTAAATTTAAAACATTAATTAAGTTAAAAGAAAACAAAGGAAAACCTTGATTCCAAAACTTTGTTCTTTGGTGAGATAGGCTGAACTCCCACTGTGTCCACATATGTATCATAGCTGCTGGCAAACAGCACTGTGGACTTTTGCTTTTGCCTTTTCCCTCTGAGCCTCACCAGACGGCAGTGTTTGAACACTTGGCCTATGCTTGCTGTTTGGTTTATCCTTTATTTTCTACCAAGTAAATCAAGTAGGTTTGTGAGCAGAACTGCCAGAGTCTGGTTGCTTATGAACTGTTGTGCTTTCAAGTTGAATTGTGTTTCTGTTCGACCTCTGACTGAACCTCTTCTTACAGAAGTTTGTATGAGGGAAAACTTTCTCAGTACAAGGACAGCCAAGGAGGGAATCTGGCTGCTCGCAGATGTTGTGCTGTTGCCATCCTTACTGGGGGACTAGTTGGATTGGAAACCTCCTGTATTATGCTATAGATATGAACATTTGTCTGGAGAGATTCTGTAGGGCCCAATACGAGGGAACTCAAGCACCTCCTCCTGTGTCCAAACCTTTGTACAGTGCCCTCTGTCAGTTTTTGTAAAACATTCCTTCTTCAAGGTTTTTCAAATTTGGTTGGAAATTTGTTTAGCTGTTGCCAGGACACACACAGACACAAGGTGATCCCAATATATTGGAGATAACATGAGAGATTATTTGGGTATAAAAGAATAATGGTGTTAGTACAGAAACTGCTGCATAACAAGTTATGGTCAAGAGGAGAGAACTGAATAGCTGATTACCTAAGTCCTTGTACAGCTCTGAAATATTATTTCACAGAGTCACAGGCTGTTCCTGGCGGGTCAAATACTGTCCCTTCTTTGTTGCTTTTATAGAGACTCTAAAGCATTTTGGGGTGTGGGGAATAAGGAGATGTAGTCTTTATCACTGCAAGTGCATTTGTATAAGAAGGAAAATTCCTACAGCTTCACTTCAACCTGGCAAATTCTAGCTCCAGCCAGAGAGTACAAGGAGTGTGACAAGAACTTAAAGGTGGTCTCTGAAGAAAAAAAGATAGGGTTATAAATCAGGTGAATCACCCCAGAAAAAAGTACTGGACTTCTTTTCCTGGGGTCTCCCATCTTTGTGATGGGGAGCACTTCTGGTTTGCTAAGGCTGCCAAGAGGAATAGGCTTGAGTTGCATTTGGGGGAGGAAACACCATGGCTACAGACTAAGAAAAGCAAATAGATTTTGTTTCCTGTGACTTTTCCAAATGACACAGGAATGAAGGGAAAAAGGGAGTTGAAGATTTCAAGTGCTGCTTTTCCACTGCCCTTGCAGCTGTGAGCACTTGTGGGCACTGGTGGCATCTCAAGGATGTGCCTGACTCAGTCACTTCTTAGTTCTTAGTGGTGCTGGCTTTCCATGCATTCCTCTATATTGCTTTGCTATGTCTCCAGAGGAGAATTTGAAGCTGTCTGCATCTCTGTTTGTTAAAAGTAACCTTTTTTTCAAACCTGCATGCAAGAATCTCTGTGCTTAAAACATATAATTTGAGTTACACAACTCTCGGTTCCAGCTGCCCTCCCTCTGCAGCATAATCATGAGCCCTCACTGCTACTATTTTCTACTTTTTTTCTACAATTTTCTGCTCTTGCTGTAAATCTTCATCAGGATTTTTAAGCTAATACTACCACCCCCCTTTTTCTCTCAACATAATCATGAAACATGGTACTGAAGGGCCAAGAGGAGAGGACAGCAGTAGTCAGGAGCATAACTACCCAATATCTCTCATTTTGTCTTGCTAGCAGTGATGCTTCAGGTGCAGAAACAAAAGCAACCCTACGTGGGAATCCTGCAGAGCTTCCTCTGCTCCATGCCCTCAGGGCTAGGGGTTCCTGTCCCCCTATGCATGGGGGATGCTGAAGAATAAACACATTCCTTTCAGGAAATGAGAGAGTAAGAGATTTGGCATCATTGATTCAGTTCACAAGAGGTGTTCATCAGAGTGGAAAGGACAAGTAACTATGCAATTTCAGTACAGTGGATGTTTTGACTGTTTATTTTTCCTGCTTTTCTTTGCACTTTCAATAAGCATGCAAAGTTTTGTTTATAAAAGTTTTGGCCTGAAACTCCTAAAGTATTCTCACAATGGGCAAGAAAACTGCTCATTGGAGGGAAGTTATATGTACCAAGATCTCTGCATGTTATTTTTTTCAGTGACAAAAGCTGAATCCCCTCCTTTACCTTGTCCCATAAAAATGCACGAGTGCAAAGAAGTGTGCACGGTCTGTTTGCTCCAATGCACTACCTTGTGTGCAGTATCTGAACTTGGCTTTGAGTTGGAGCTGGTATCTCATCCCAGCATGTATTTATCCCTGGGCCCAGTGTTTTATTTCTTTATCCAGATGCCTGTATGTATATGGTGCTATAGCAAGTGTCTACCCACAAGCAAACCAAACATCATTATTTGCAGGAGGTAGGTACTGAAATTGCATTTTTACAATTTTTGAGAAAAATAATGGGATCAAAGCAAGGACTTTGTTTATCACATGAAGCTGGATTCACATGGTTAGAATACTGTCTTTTAATTATCTGCAGGGAAAGGTGATTGGCTGCTGCTGACACAGAGGACGGACATGTGGGATGTGACCCAGTGTTGTGGGGAGATCAGCACTGACTCCACTCAGCACAAGATCAACACCCTAGTCAGTGAAAATCAGAGTAGCAAATTTGTTTTAGATGTATTTGTGATTAGACACAAAGACAAAAAGCTTAGCTGATATGCTAACTATTGATTAGGTCTGTACAGTCCCGAAGGAACTGGGGTTAGTTCACATACAAATGTCTTTGCAAGTTTACATACCTCATTGTACCACACAACCTTTTTTTGTTTTATAATCTCCAGAATCAGTCTCAACCTCTGCTTTTAAACAAAAGAGACACACTAAATATCATGGCAAGGTAAATGTAACGACAGGGAACTTCTTACAACGAAAACACTGTCCAGCAGTAGACAGGTTCCTAGGATGCCACCACTGGATGATCAGGGAACTCTATGGCTGTTGTGGGGTTCATTACAGATACAAGGGAAGCACGGTGATGGCTGGGAGCTATCTTTGTTGCAGCTCTACCTGCTGCCTTCTGGAAGGCAAGTTTGGGAACCACTGTTCTGGGAAAACACCTCTGTTTCGTGCCTTGGTTTTAGCTAGGGGAAGGTGCATGCTTGAAACATAAATACTTAAAGCCCCAGGCAATGCTGGGACTACAAAAGTAAGGTTCTCTGTGGTAGATAGTCAGCCCAGGCTCTCTCTCTCTGTAGTGAGTATTCAGACTCTCCTTTACTTTCCGCTCTGCCTTCCTTGGCAGTAAAAGCATTCAACACTAATAAGGAGATCTCTCCACTACTTTCCTGCCCATCTGCTGCATAAAACAAGCTTTGGACAGCATACTGTATCTTTAAGTGCTGCTGTTTGCTGGCTTTATGCATTTATAAGTAGCTGAAAGGGGTGATTGCTGATTAAATATCCACTATTAACTGCTCTTAATCACAGCTCTGGAGTCTAATGGAGCTCTTGTTTGCACATAATTGTGCCTCGTAGCTGTCTTTAGCATGCTTGACAGATGTGCTTATTGCCATCTTCACTATGCATAATGGGCTTTTAATTATTTATTCATCTTTACCCATTTATAAACTACTTATAAATGTCAAAAGAATGAATGATGCTTATGTTTTTCTTTTTACATCTTTTTCAGGTTAGAAAAATAATAGCTCCATTAAACACAGGGACAAAGGGCTTTCTAGGGATAGCATCAGACCTTGGACCTGGGAGGAAACAACACCTGCAAATGTACTAGGAGGTCCCCCCCATTTAACTCAGTGCCCGAGGGCTATTTAGGCTACCTGAGTAGCTTTTGCTGTGCCTCTTCTTCTTTCTCCGTTTCCCAGATGTCCTCTGCTTTTCCTTGTCAGTGTGTGTCTCCCCTGGAGGCAGTGTTGCTGAACAAGAAGAGTCGGTGGCTGGCTCCTCCGAAAAGGATTTCTCTTGGGAAGTGTCCAACAGCGAGTCTGTACCAGGGTCTTCATTTTCCTTTGCCATCTCTTTCAACTCTGCCTGATGTGCACCATCACAGGGAGTGGATGGAGTGCTGGGATTGCCTCCATCCTGGCTCAGCTGGATGTCCTGAGCTGGCCTGCAGCTCTCCAAGCTGCATTTGTTGTCTTGCTCTTCAGAGCTGGACCCATTGAGCTGTTCTCTTAGAGCAGCACCAGAGCTGCTGCTGACAAATGTTATATTGGCACCTATGTTATCAGCAGAGAAGGAAATGGCACCACTACTCAGGCCTGGCTGGAGGCTTGCCATCCCCGCACCCTGCCCATCTCCATCAGCTTCCACTAAGTTTACCAAAGGGCCTTCTGTCCTAGACCCTGGTGGCAAATTTTCTTCAGCATTATTTTCAGGTAATGCCTGGTTTGGAGCTGAGACATCTCCAACATCTCTACCCATCTCTGGTAGGGCAGCGGCCAAGGACAGAGTGCTTTCTGAGGGATGACCGTTGTTTTGCTTGGCTTTATCATCCATCTGCTGACCTCCTGCTTGCGGATCCTTAATGCTCTTTCCTTCAAACAAAAAGCATGAGATCAGCCATATATGCAGAGTTGCATCCAAGATCAACCATGGTGTTTCTGGTACTGGGAGAGGCTACAGGCTTGCTGCTGCCTACAGTGGTTGCACTGCCCCTAAAGCAGCCATGGTGATGGGTTGATGGTTGGACTAGATTATTTGAGTGGTCTTTTCCAACCTTAATGATCCTGTGATTCCATATAGGCAATACCCTTTCATCCTACAGCTAAGGAAGAGCGTCTTCATTAGCATTCCCATCTCCCTTCCCAGTGCCCCATGTGGTCACTCCAGTGGGACTCCGAGGCTCTACATTAGCAAAAGGCATGTTTTCAGCAGGTGCTCTGGTGTCCCATGGTTGATGCCCATAAAAGTCTTTGGACTTGCAAAGGGTATCTGAAAACCTATATCAGAAAGAGATCCTGAACCAGCTGGGAACACTGACTTGGTTGGCGCAAGCACTTAAAAATTTCTTGCTGGCCTTTCTAAAGCCACAAAGTCAGGCTTTACCACACACCAGTGCACTCTGACTGTAATTGTGTGTTGATATGCTCAGGTCACGAGCCGAAAAAAAAGGCTAAAACCATAGACTAACTCCTAAAAAACACCTGGGTGAATGGGGTTCTTCTGCAGATAGGACTTTCTAGTCCTATTTTAAGTGCTGCCTTAGACTCCCAGATGTAGACAGAGGGTACAGCAGATGAAGATAAGCTATGCTAGTGAGATTTGATTGTATGGAGGGACAGGTAGGGATGACGTTAGTGCCCCACCAGAAGTGTCCTGTGGCTGAGCCATGGGCTGTGACTCTCAGACAGTTCATCAGTGCGGGCACAAGGCCACAAAGTCTGAGGCACACCTGGCTGTCAACACCTCAGGGCATTTTGCTCCTGTCCACAACTCTGCTGCAGATCCTCCTTAATTAGGATGCCCCAAATGCTGGAAGGTTACTTGCTTGCGTGCTTGGCTCAGACTCAGAGACAGATGGGAAGAAATAGCTGCAGGTACAGTTGGGTATGTGTCCTTACCAGACTGGCTCTCCTCAGGGATCTCCGCAGGCAAGGCTTTAGGAGGTGCGTCTGACTCGTGTCTGTTCTTCGTCTTTCTCAGTGTGAACCCTTTCCTTATGTCAGCCAGCAGTGCATCAATGACGCAAACATCCTCCTGCTTCACCAACCCCTTCTTAACTGGGATAGAGAGAGACAGGTGATAAATGTGCTCCTGAGAGAGGAAGGATGCAGACTGCACAGCAGTGCTATCGCTTGGGGTTGGTACTGCTTCCCTGGTACAAATAGGGCATCTGCAAGACTTCTGAGATGTCTGCAGCCTATGGTAAGCTGGAGCAAGACTATTTCAGAGTAGGAAGAGACTTTTTAGGGGAAAGTCAAATGTCTGTTGTTAGGTTTAGGATTCAGAAAGTTTGTTTAGAACTTGAAATATCTGAAATAACTGAAATGTTTCAGTTTTATTTTTGTCTCTCTCCTTCTCAGTCAGCAAAAGTAAAATTAACTTCTCTGCCCAGCTGCCACTGTGAAAAGTCAATTGCTATCTGTGGCCAATAAGATGCCTAAAAGCCTTTAGTCAGCCTGCACTTGGAGATTCAGAGAATAAATTACCTCTACTGGTCATTAAAGCAGGACCAGCAAAGAGCTTTCATCAGCTCTTCCAGTCCATTTGGGATTGCAAGTCCTCCATTTCTTTTGATGCCCTTTCAGATACTCACTGACTTTTCCATTTTCTCCCTTCTGTCTCTTCCCTTCTTCTTCTTCCAGCTGTTTCTTCCTCTTCTCTGCTTTTGCAGCTTGTTCCTTTCTGTCTTTGTTTTCCTGCAATTAAGTAACAGGGACATGAAAAGGTTGGCTAAAGATCTGCCAGGAGAACCAATGAAGAGAAAGACAATATGCAGATGGTTGCAAAGGCAGAAGAGAAATCCTCAGAATAAATAAAAGGAGCATAAGGAGAACTGTTTTGCCAAGAGAGTGAAAATGGTTTGTGCAGGACTTTGCCCAGACCCAGTAGGAAGTGGCAGCAGTCATTTGAATAACACAGCTACCCATGTGCATCTTCTCTCACTGACAGTCATCTGAGGCAAATGTGGAAGGTACTGAAGCCATACATTCTTTCAAACCAGTGGCCTTTTGAATATACATCCCCCTTCTGATCCTATTTGTTCAAGTTGAAGAATTAAGTTTCATAATTCTGTTCTAAAATTTATGCACTCAGCTGTGAAGGCATTGGACTCGATGATTCTTATGGGTTCCTTCCAACTTGGGATATTCCATGAGTCTATGAAAGCATCTCTGTGAATATGCAGCTGAAGTTGCACTGAAATCCCAAGTCATCAGGGTCTGGGTCAGGCCAGGAGCACTGGCAGTACGTGAGGATGAAGTGGAGCAGGACCAGATACCCATTCACCAGGTGACCTCAAGCCAAGTGTTATGAGAAGGGGTCCATAATCAGCAGCCTCCCCTCCGGACTCTGTGCCTGTCCCACCAAGGACTGTTGGAGTAGAAATACAAAGCACTATGATGTGTTCATCTTTGTGTGCAGTCACTAACCTTTAGAGCTCGGATGAAGAGATCTCTGAAAGTCTTCATGGTGCTAAATACATCCTCTAAGGACAACTTGCTTGGGTCCTCACAGAGATAGTTTGCAAGTTCTTCTCTCTTCCTGTCAATGGTTTCAAAATCTTCTTCCAATTTTCTGGAAGCATCAATGCTATCCTGAAATGCATTTAGTGCAGACAGTGAGACACCATCCAGAGGATAACAAGTGAAGTGTACATAAAGAAAAAGGATGTCAACATAAGAACTTGGAGCAGAGCTTTTGGGGTGGGAAAAAACAACACATGGCTCCTGGTGACTGTGTTGTGCCACTGTGCAGGGGTGGCTTTAGCAACACACAAAAAGCTCAGTGCAAAGTTTCATCCCAAGAGAAGGGGTTTACTTTGGCGACCTGCACAGAGAGTGAACACATCGACTCAGACATAGTGAGGTGAGGCAGAGTAGGGAGAGCCATTGAAGCAAGCCTTTACGAAAGCCTCACTGAAGGTAGGTAGGTTTGGGGCAAGCAGACACCACTGAGTTCTGTGGCATCAGAGCCTGTTTCCAAATCTGAGAGTGCATCTTGTGGCAATTTTTTTCACCACCTTGTGAGCGTCCTCATCTACATGCAACATGCTGGCTTTGTGTGCGTAAGGTGGAAGCTATAAGGGAACTCCAAGACTGACCTGGATAGGTTTCTCATACTGCTGTTTCACATCGTCATTTGCTGATGAGACCTTTCGCTGGAGCTCCAGCAGCTTTTTTAAATTGGCACTGGATTCTGAGCGTATAATATCAAGATTAATTCTGAAATCACACAGATGCCCTGTATTAGTTCTCATTACTGTATCATGCTCTTACAAAAGAGATGGCAAGGCCTAGCAGGTTTGGTTGTCCCTCTATTTCCCATGTGAGCTTGAGCCCTCAACCCTGTACAGTCTGAACTCATGAAAAAGTTCAGCACTTATGGAAAGATGCTCAGTCCCACTGCAGCATCATGCATTGAGTAGGAGAGCACCCAGAAAGTCCACCCAGGGTTATCTGCACCCACATTGCTCAGCATTTGCTCAGTTTCCCTGGTCAAAGGCACTTTAGAAGCTCCTGCTACTGCAAATGTGGTGCAGATTGTGGAAGGGCCCATAAGGCAGTATTAAATAAATGCACTGCAAATGTCAGACTTCGGTAGTACCAGCTGTAGAAGAACTATAATATACTAAATAGGTGTAAGCACTCATCAACCAAACCTTTTGGTTAAAGATAAGTAAAATGCCATCTTATTAACATGCTGTGCCAGCTGTGGGTATCCTAATTTCTGATACACTGTTGACATGCATAGGATTTATTTTTGTTTTTCATTTGAAGGAAGTGACACACAATCTTACCCTGCTGCTTTTGAAACATATTCAAGGTCCTCCGGCAGTTCCAATAGGTCTGTGTGGCTGTTTTCTACTTCCTGAAGAGAAATAAGCACTGTTTACTGAGTGGTTCAAGCTGGGAGAGGAGGCAGTACTCAGGACAACTGCACTATGCCCCTCATCTGGCCTCCTTTCTGCAGAGCTTAACCATGTGTAACTGATGAATGAGAGTGGCAGAGCAGAATATGAAGAAAAAGAAACAACACACAGTAATGCATGGAATAAGAAAGTCATAGGCACTTAGTGGGGAGTTTGAAAAGCTCAAACACAGCCTGGTGGAGAAGCGAGTGGCCATGAAAAGGCAGAAAGGATGAATGGGTACAGAGCAGCCAGGATGGCTTTGGTGGCCACAAACTCTGTGGTTTGCAGCTGATGAACAGAGATTGTGCAAATATGAACAAAGAAAGTTGCAGCAACTGTGGGGAAAGATGCTGGAGGAAAGCAGGACAAAACTAAAAGGAGTTCCCTGAGAGCTGAGTTGTGCCCACAGGCATTCACCACCAGCCTAAGAGAGCCAATGCTTTTAACTTGTGGCTAGATGGGGAGGATAATGAATAAGAGTGCATTACATTAACTGAATCTAGAGTAGGAGGAATGGTTCACTAAGGTAAAAAGCCTCCCTTTCCTTTCTGCCCAGGACTGTAGTACCTCCAGGATATGGTGGAGCAGCGTAATGCGGGTTTGGTTTGCTTTGGTTTCTGTTAGTTTGAGTAAAGTGCTGATTTTAAACCCATCAGCATCGCCTGTGTGACTTCCCTACAAGATAAAAAAAAAAAACAAACAAACAGATGTAACTCTTCTGTCCAAATTACAGCCTTAGATGTGAAGATCATACACACATTCTGTAGATGGGTGGAGGGCAAGACAAACAAAGTCCTTACGTAGTTCAGAAAGTTTCCAACTTTGAGAATCAGTTTACAAAAGAGAGGCAGACGGTGACTGGTCAGAAGATCTGAAAAACATAAAGGGCTTTTAAGCAAAAGCCTCAGATAAACCAGAACATTTTCTAAACTGGATAAAAAGTGGGATTCTGAATTCCAGCAAACCAAATCTTATTTTTCAGGTTTGTGGCCCAATGGCCCAACCTGCAGAGAAACTGATTCTAAGTAGATTCAATCCCAGTAGCTGGCCTTAATGAAAGTTTCTGCTCACTTGTATTTCTTTCTTTATTCACATCTGGTCTCTCATTCCTAATGGAAAATGATGTGGAGCTGGACTCTGGTCAATTGGAAGCACCCAGATTTAACCTGCCGTGGGGTACGAGGGCTCCAGCTTTAATCCTGCAGACTCCATTCAGCTGTGCAGCAAAGCCAGTTCTGACAGTGCTCCAACTACCTGCCAGCTGCTAAAACCAGACACACTCCATCTTTTCTTGGTCTCGCACGGTGAAGGTGCTTATCAGGCATGAAGGGTACAGTCCCTGTCCTTGCCCTTACAACAAGGTGCTGCAGAGATGTGCTTTCTGAAGCACTCTGGAACAGATTTAAAAGGAAAAGTTGGCTGCAGGGAATTTCTGGGGAGAGCTTTATCCCAGCAGGCAGCTGTAATTTCAGCTGGAGAAGCCTAGAGCAGGCGTTCTTTAAGACAAACAGTACTGACAAGAAGTGCTTTCAGCAGTGGGACCTGAGATTTCTGCCACAGAAAAAAAAATAAAAAATCTATTGCATAATTTCTCCATGTGTTCACAAACTTGAGCATCAGCAATTCAAAGCCCAAAATAACAAACTTTCTCTTCTGATTACTTTTGTAGGCAGGGAAAAAACTAAAGTATCACTGCTTTCTTGGGAAAGTTTAGGTATGCTTTTCTGGAAGCAGAGAAAATTGCTGTGTAAAGATCTTAACGTAATGAATTAGCTCTAGATTCAGCTCTTTTGGAAATTCTGACAAGCTTCCAACACTTCATTGTCAAAAGTGGTTCAGAAGAACACAGCTGCTGCAAAAGAAGAGGTCTGAGGCTGAGGGAAAATGGTCTCCAGTCATATTAAAGGCTTTGATAATCAGTGGAGATACCGAGAGCTGCATCCTGTACTCTGCAGCAAACCAGTGAAGAGGCTGCAGGAAAGCTGTGGTGCTGGGGAGACTCACTGTATTGCTCTAGAGGGTTTATTGAGGCTTTACAGCTGACTGTCTTAAACAAGATCCAGAATTAAGGTCAGACGTTTACCTTCGCAGGCTTTCCGGATGGCTTCAGCTTTTGGCTGAATCATATCCAGAACAACAGTAGTCTCTTCACAGATCAGCATACATTCAATCCGTAGCTGATAGCTAAGGATGGAGATTGATTAAAAGCTTAAAGGCATTACAATCTTGGCCAACACATCAGCTCTCTTCCCACATCACCTCTAAGGCTGGCAACCCCATCGCCAGTGCTGACAGCATTGCTGCCTTCCACATCCACATGAGATAAGTGCTTGTGGAGGGCTGCCACTTTAGACAGGGACCAGTCCTTAGCCACATGGTCCACCTTCTGCAACTCTCAGCATGAATATTAGGAAAGATTCTTTTGAGTAAGAGTGGTTGCACATTAGAACAGGCTGCCCAGGACGGTGGTGGAGTCCCCGTCCCTGGAAGTCCACAAGAAGCATGGAGATGTGGCACTGAGGGGCATGGAAGGGATGGTTTGGGGTTGGACTAGGTAGTCTTAGTGGTCTTTTTCAACTTTAATGATTCTTTGATTATATACTTCAGAGGGAGAAGAGGTGCTGCAGAAGTGACACCCTTTCATGCAAGAAAAGGGAAGGGAGGGCTAAGGTGGAATTGGAGACTGACCAACTGTATCTGTTGGTGTTTGAGACCTATGAGACTAATATAGAAACTTGAACTTCCCATAGAAAAACCAATGAAAAGATTGGGTTGACATTCACGATGAGCATCCTTACCTTGGAATTTGAAGGAGGAGAAGATAAAACTGATCTGCGTTTGCTAGCTTCGACTTCTCTTCTTTGAAGGCCTTCAGGTTTTCTATCTAATAAAAAATAAAGAATCAAGACTGCAGGACTTCACTGCACATTCAGCTCTTTGAATCAATGTGTGCAATTTTTCTCTCCTGACCTCATGTTTTTCAGGCAGCAGCTTCAGCAGCTGCTTTAGAACCTCAACGTCGAACTTGGTCCGATCTCCATTCTGGACCATGGCAGCCACCTCTTCATTGGAGCTGCAGAGAGAAGCACAGGTAGCAGTCACCAAAAGGTCCCCCTTCCACAACCACATGCTTCTGAGAGATGTACTTGCACAAGCGTTCTGTGCTTTCCCTATTGAAGGTCACAGAGATAGGAAACATATATCCCAGTGATTAACTCAGAATTGGGACGTGGAAGATCCAGATTCAAGTACTTGCTATGCACAAAATTTGCTTCTGGCCCCGGTCAAATGACTTAAGACTAGGGATCAATGTTCCAACTCAGATATCTGTCTCTGCGTATGTGACTACCTTAAAATAAATGAATTCTTATCTTCCTTTTTGGTCCTTCTTTGAGGAAGAGTTTCACTTCCAGAGGCATTTCACAGCCAAAGCTACCCTAAGAGTCTGTGCTATAACTCCATCTGTAACATGGAGTTGTAGCACTTCATGAAAAAACACAGTTAAATACCCAAGCCTAATATTTTAGAGAGAGTATATGACAAACTGTGAAGTAATCAGATTTTACAGCAACACAGACTACAGAAAGAGCATTGGCAAGAATAGATTTCTTGAGGACCTTACAGGCACTATGCACGACCTACTCAAAGTTTTGTCAACTGTCATGAAAACCAGCTGTATCTTACCATTTAAACTGCTTCAAAAATATGTTCAAATTGAGACTTTTCTTGGAGTCCAAAAATGTGATCTTCATTAAAGAAAAAGAAGATATCACTTATTAGATGAGCTGTCTGCAGCAATCTTTACTCGAAAGAATGAGAGTGGCCCCCTCACCTCCTTCGGCTCTGCCTTCACTGGTGCGGCTGTTTTCTCCTTAGGGGTTGGTTGTGGAAAGCAAAACAGCTGCTCAATGCTTGTGTAGTTGGGCTCTATGGTTTCCTCGCTGCTGCTGCTCACTGAAGCCCACATCGAATGACTTTCTGAAAAAAAGACAAGGGATTAAGAATGGCTGCAGAGCTGAAAGCTCCCAGCTTTTTTGGGTAGTTTGAGTTGCTAGAAGGGAAATTCCTCAGAAGGTGAATTAAATAAAAAGAGACATATTTTCGATTTTGTAATCAAGTTTCCCTGTGTTATGCTGGCAATAGGACTGCTTAAATAAATCCCTATTGCATTCTCTTAAGCACCGAATTAAACTCCACTGCACTTTCTTAAACCTCTTCTTTTCTTTAAAAAACAAAAAACATCACCTAAACGTGATGCAGGAAGCTCTACTGAAATAAGCCCAACAATTAAATGTCCCATGATTAAAAACATGCTTTATTTGGACTTTAACTATGCCTTGCTTGTTTGGGGCAAAACTGACCTTATTTGTCCTTGCTTCTTCTCATATTTCATGTTCCATTTTTGGATCCGCTAGGAGAGGGAAATGTGACCCAAAAATCAAGAAACAATTCAATACTTCTCATGTCTCACCAATTATTTCAATGTCCTTCCTGAACTATGAGCTGATTCTGATCCGTACTGCTACATATGACTTTTATGTATTTAGAGTCTGTTGAGAACTCAAGCTTAAGGCATGTCAAGGTGGATTAGGGCAATCTTCCCATTCTTCCCCCTTCTTCAATTTCAAACAATTTCTTTATAAATGAGCTATTCCAAGCTATTTCATTGGGATGGTTATTTTGTCAGTGATTCCATCCTGCTTCCATTTATTTAAGCTCAGCATGTAATGGAAATCAGGGAAGTTCTGTGTCTAAACGGAGTTAACTAAACCTGACAAATAGCAGTTTTTCCCCTCCTATAAAGTAGTTGTGACTTCGTACTAGAAGCACCCACCTCTCACCACATTGGAGGGCAGCTTCTGCCAGTTTAGCTTCTTCATTCTCAGCGTTGGTGTCTTCACTGCCTTGTATGGAGGCCTGATGGAGCCGAGCGGGCAGCTGATCTGGGAGGCTACAACAGCTTCTATGTGATCTCCTGCCATACCAGGCAATGGTGGTGGAGGGGGTGGGATGCCCCCTGTACCAGACAATGGGGGTGGTGGTGGAATGCCCCCCATGCCAGGCAATGGAGGTGGAGGTGGGATTCCCCCCATGCCAGGCAATGGAGGTGGAGGTGGGATTCCCCCCATGCCAGGCAATGGGGGTGGAGGTGGGATTCTCCCTATGCCATGAAATGGAGGTGGACGTGGGATACCCCCTATGCAAAGAAATGAAGGTGAAGGAGGGATGACCCTCGTGCCAGGCAATGGAGGTGGAGGTGGGATTCCTCCCATGCCAGGCAAGGAAGGTGGAGGAGGGATGACCCTCGTGCCAGGCAATGGGGGTGGAGGTGGGATACCCCCTATGCAAGGCAATGAAGGTGAAGGAGGGATGACCCCCGTGCCAGGCAATGGAGGTGGAGGAGGGATGCCAGGGAGTGGTGGGGCTGGTGGTGAATTCATGGAGGCTGTGGGGGGCATGGATGCTGGGCTAGATGGCAGGGGTGGAGGTGGTGGGGGTGGAGGCGGTGGTGGTGGAGGGGCAAGAACAGCGTTGGGTGGAGGGTTAGAGGTCTGTGGTGAGGTGAAGCAGGCTGCGAGCGGTGAGGATGAGGTCTTCTCTTCACAGGCTTGTGGTCCTGAGGAAGCTTCTGGTGTCGTGCAGGGGTTTGGTGATCCCACCAGGCTCTGAACTGCACTTGTGCATGGTTCTAGTTCAGTCTGGATGCCTCCATTTGCATTTCCAGAAAGATGTTTTTCAGCTCTTTTTTGCTTGTTTGGATGCTTCTTGATAGATAACAGCCTCTCAATTACTTCTTCAACAGTGTTTCCTTGGACTAGAAAAACATGTTGAGGTCAGAAAAGAGGATGATGCTCAATGAGATGTTCATGCTATCCAGCTCCCACAGATCTGGAGCCACAAAGCTCCAGGATAATTTTACCCAGTGGTACTTTAATTTAATAGGGAAATTCTCATGGTACTGGCTCATACACACAGTTTTGAGCATGCCTGCCAGCAAAGCCAGGCAGCCCTAGTGGCAAGATGCCAATGAAAACAGATTCTTGTTGACTCTCGTGACCCACGGCTCACTGCAATGCCAGGGATTAGCCATCAAAGCAAGATGGTGAATCTCGAGCCCAACATGAAACTTGGCCAGTTCTCACTGGCATCTGTAGAGCTAGAGCTTCCCATCAATACATGACCCTGTGCAGCAGGTACAGTTTTGTCTCTATTACCTTCCCAGGGAACAACTTTTGTGGGCACTGGGTTGGATGAGGAAAAAAGAGAGCTGACTGCAAGGCTAGATGTATGTCATTCTTACTGTCTACAAGGCTAGATGTATGTCATTCTTACTGTCATTGGCGAGCAAAAGGGCTCTGTTCACTACCGCATCCAGTGACTCCCACAGCAGCAGGCTGGAGTGGTGAGACGGTTCCAAGTGGAGCAAGCTCTGCAGGATGGACAGCAGCTGGATGGAGACTGGGGAGCGGCTCACCTGGAAAACAGGGCAGCTTTCCATCAGACCAAGTCTGTGTACCAGACTGGTTGCAAGCAAACTCTGTTAACTTTGCCACTGCAGGTCTTTGCAACCTACATGAGGGCCTACTTACTTTATTGAAGAGAGATGAAAAGACCTCATGGTGATCATTCATGTTTATCCCATCACATATCTTCAATAATTCCTCATCATCTTCTATCTTGAACTCTTCAAATGTATCACACTGGATAAGCAGATCCTCCTCCTCTATGTCTCTAAAGTATTACAGAACTCATTTTCACTTGGAGAGCCCTTCACTGATTTTCAGATAATTATTTTTCTTTAAATGGCTTTTAGTTCTTTGCCTCTCAGACTCAGCTGGTTCATGCTGGAAGTGCCCAACTCTACCTTATGTATAGAGGATCAATTGCCATCAGCATATCTTTTCTCGAACTGAATATACCTCTTTGTATAGCCAACACATAGAAGTCAATGGGTCTACTCATGGAATAATCTAGCCCAGAGTATGCTTTATATGTACTTCTCCTTGGAGCAGTAACAGCAGAGTGGCATTTCTACCTTTTCTGAAATTGGGCCGGCACCTTTTTTTTTCTTATAGTCAACATAAACATTGCTTTTTAAAAAACTTCCTTCTATGCTGTTCAAAATTTGATTAAAAAACCAAAAACATTCTAAAGCCAAGTTTTCTAGCACTCTTGAGAGACTCAGTGCAGGAGAACTCTGCTTGTGCTTGCTGTCAGTAATGACAGACTTTCTCTAACTTTTAAGGGTTTGGATAGAGCAATTCCAATTACATAAAATGTTCTAAAATTTATCATGGGTTTTTCTGATAGAACATCATTTTAAAATTATGAAACCCTGCAGTCAGATGCGTGCAGATATGCATTAGAAAGGTGTCACAGCATTCATCAACTGCTTAGTGAGCCCACAGCATCACTTCAGGTTAAGTCTGAAATGCAGCCTCAACAATGGCATTGCTGATCTGTGCTCCATCTGTGCCAAAGCCTCTGTCACTGCCATCTGCAACAACAGCTGCTCTCATGACACTGTGGCCGATGAGAGCACCTGAACATTGGCCTAACGTCTCCAGTTCCATGTAATGGCTGCACACCTGTGTGGTCCTCTCCACCCATGTATACCTCACAACTGAAGACTGCCAAGTATTAAACTTCCACAGCTATGTTACTGTGACTCTCATTTGTATAAGAAAATTTAAACAGTGATCCTTACCTTAGCTTGTCTAAAATATCCAACAACTGAAGACCTGGCAGAACAAAAAATACATATATATATATTGGCATTATGATCTACTTGGCACTGATCTACTATGATCTTTATATAATGTTACTCTCATAAACACTTTTGGCAGAAATAAAAAGTGAAGCTATCCCAAATCTGTCAAAGTAGGTCGGTTCGTTCCATAACTGAAGAGACCTGCTGCTCACATCTGCAGCTGAGTGAGCTACTGAGCATCCCTCTGGGGTTGCAGAGGGACACTGGCACTTCTAGGGCACAAGTCTTCTCATTCTAAAGTAGATGTCTAAAGCAAGTCATATGAACTGTGTGATCAAATGTCCCTTTTTCTCCACAGAATGAAATGGAGCCTAGGCTCACCAGCACAGATGTGCACATTATATGAGGTGAATCCAAACTTAATCTCCTTTTATGATGAATTGTAATGTAATGAAAAGTGCCCACAAAAGATGGCTGGTTATAAAAATGTGTTTGAGAATATCAGGGGGTGGTGGGATGATAGAAAGGATCAAAGGTATGGGAGAGCATCAAATACATCTGGCTAAAGAAATGTTGATGAAGAGAATAAAAAACACACAGACACACACAAAAGCAGGAATCCAGCTGTATTATTTGCAGTTTTCATCCCCAGCCCTCTTTAATTACCTTACAGGTACATCTGAAGATAAAGCCATAAAACTGCCCTGTACTTGGCCATGAGAAACTTAGGTCCTACAAATATCCTTACCTATGAACTCATTTCGGATCTGTGTTCTTGTTCTTAGGTCTTCTTTCCCAAGTATGATGGCATTGATAGCACTCAGCAGTGTCACCATGTATGGCACATTATCTGTGTTCGACAGCTCGTTCATTATGACACTGAATCGATACTGCTGGTTCTTCACATTCTGTTAGTGACACAAGTGACATTTCTGTTTAGACAGTTCAGTAACAACTTCTTTAGTGCAGGCTCTCAACTAGGGTCACCATCTTAAAACCATTCTCAATTTATGCCTTGGAGCACAATACAGGAAGATAGAGGTAAAAGCAGCACTCTTATCATGGAACAATGTCTGGTCAGCAGGGGACATCTGTGAAACTCCTCCTGCTTTCTGCTAACTTACGTACCTGGTCTTGTAACCAGTGAAACCCATGGATGTGGCACCATCTACCTTCGTACTTTTCTTGACATAAAGAACATTCTTATTGGTAGTCCTTTGCCCAGAGACAAATCACAGAGCAATGCCTCTGGGCTTCTGCTGACCAGGCCAAAATTCCTACAAATTCCTTTGTAAATCCCTGCCTCTCTTACCAAAATGATGCAAAGTGACCTTCTCTCCAAACCCTTTTCTCCTTCTGCAGCTCAAAACTTGCCTTGTAATGATCCAGGGCATCCAAAGCCAAACCATGGCCATCTGATGAGTAAATGCACAACGCAGCTAGGAGTTCAAATACTTGCTTTTTCACCATGACATTAGTTGTGTCAAGTGCTGGAGGAAAATGAAACAAAACAAAGTGAAAAAAAGATTTTTAAGATCACAAAGTTCTGAATCTCAGTGTCTTCTGCTGTAAGGCTTGTGGATAGTGGCAGAAGAAAACCTGAAAGAGTGCAGCCAGTGGAGAACAGGAAGAAAAATATCCTTATTTATAGATGTCCCACTCCAATAGCAGTATGTGGTAGTAACTTCTAGTTAGTAACTAACTCAGTTACCCCACCAGCTTCTTGGTGCTGCATGTAGCTGTTCACCTCTTCCAAGTACTAACAGCAGCCAAGATCTCAGCACTTGCAGTTACACATTTTATTTCCAATTTTCACATGCAAATGTTTTCTAGAACAGCAGATGAACCATTTTCCCCAATTAATGAATGTTATTTTTAGTGCAGAATCACTCAACATGCATATCAAATAGGCCATTTGTTCTTTCCAGTTCTCATACATTTCCTTTTCTTTCATTATTCTCTCTCTATGAGCCCTTGGAGGTGAGAGGGAATGGATTAGGTTATCTTATTTTTGTGTTTATTGGTGCACAAAGAAGCCAGACTGCTGAGAAGCCCAGGATATCCCATTGTCTTTCACAGTACAGTAATGCCAGTTCTGTATTTCACACTGGTTAAGAAAATACAGCGTGAAAGAAAAGAGGACTTGAAAACTATAGAGAGGAACAAGCCATCTTTCAGATTAGATGCATTTTAATGAGCTATTAGTAAGGATATCCAGGTACAGCTGTGATCTCAGCTCTGTGGAGCAACACAGAAGTTATCATCCCTGCCCCACTGCCAAGAAGTGCTATACAAGCAACCCCTAGGAGATGCCCTGGAAGTTTCCTACCAAATGAATGGCAGGAAATGTCAAATGATGTTATATCTCATTTCCTAGAAGGAAAAGACTGGGTAACATGGAAAATGGACTCTCTTAACATAGAATAGTTTGAGTTGGAACAGACCTTTCAAGGCCATCTAGTCTAGCCTCCCTGCAGTGAACAAAGACACTTACAGATCAGTCATGCTCAGAGCCCCATTCAGCCTGACCTTGAATGTCTGCGGGGATGGGACATCCACCACCTCTATGGGCAACCTTGACTCTAAAAAAGCTCTTGAGTCTAAACAATTCCACTCTTCCTCCTCCTTAGAGGCTACAGGTCTCCAAGCTCTTTCAGCGCCTCTCTTTCTGTTCTTGGGCCTCACAAAAACTGATAGCAAATATCTGCTGAGAAGCTGGGTACTGGACTTTGCATTACCATGTATGGCCAATGCAGTGCTTATACCCAGCTCCTCATGAACTATGAAGACATCTGTGCAAAAATGAGTCCATCTACATGGTATTAAGTGGCAAAAGCAATGCCATTTTAAAACAGACTTATTTTTAAGAGAAATTAATTCAATTAATCACTTGCAATCGACAACTTTCAAGAAGCCTGGTGCAGGGCAAGAGGATAAGCAACAGAAAAAGCCCAACTGTGTGGCAGGAAGATGTCTCCTCACCTTGGAAGAGTTTTCTGACGTAGCCTTCATTGCTCACAATGTATTCAATGCCTCTGTGGGAGTTCATGACTGCTCTCACACAGTTAATGCAAGTGAGCTGTAGCAAGGCATCGGAAATCCTGGCCACCCCTCTGCCAGACAGCCTGTCCAGAGCCTCCAGGAGGAGGTCCAATCCACAGAGCTCCAAGAACTGGACCATCCAAGCATCATCACTGCTCTCCAGACGCTTCTTCAGCCCAGAGTAGTTCACCACTGATGGCATTTGCAGGAGGCGGATGCACAGCTCTGGCTCTGCATTTTCCAGGTTGGCCTCCGACTGGTCGGTATCCTGAGGCCCGAGTTTCTCCTTCAGGGCAGCCCATTTCTTGTGGGCACCTTCCTTTTTGATTGACATCATGAACTGCTTGTCCTGAAAGAAAAAGAAAAGACAACATGAGAAGTCCAGTTAGGCTGAGTACCAACCCCACATCAGCAATAGTTCTTCTCCTAGGGTCAGGACTTGAAGCACAACTGCAGAAGGTTCCTGCTCCTATACCAGCCTGCTGCACGCCCGGCACACACTGGAACCAGTCCTCTGTTGAAGAAACTAAATACATCCCCTCCTTACAGCACACATTATATTTAGGCCCTGATAACCCTGCAAAGAGACTCTTAGCACCTCTAAGTCAGTAAATACAGCTTTAAAAGTAGTCAATTTCCACCAGTCAATAGCTACTACCTATTTTTGTGCAGTGAAAGGATAATGTTGGAAGCAGCATTATCTGCTCTGAACTCCTTATGCCCATTAAACCACTTTGAAATCTCACTGCAGTGGAAATGCTGTGCAATTTCTAAGTATTTGTAATGGGATGTAGAGTCATTTGAGCATATCTTGTTCATATAAGCATCCAATTACCCTGTCATTTCTTTCTTGCTTTTGTTTCTTTTGAATGATGCAGAGGTTAATTTTATAACACTCACTTAATCTCTTCCCATCTGCTATAGCAGCAAATATGTTTGCTAAATGTGGTGCTTGCGTGTGCTAATGTGAGACCCCAACAAGTTGCAAGCAGAGGGACTGCAGGGAAAGTCTATTAAAACAGCAGTACAGCTTTTTGGATATGAAGCACAGCCTTTCAAGGTCCATCTCCTATGGTCTGTCTCAGCAGCAAGGAGAGTGAGGAGTTGATTCATGACAGAGAAGGATCGAAGCCAAGCCAAATTAACCCTTTACGCTACATTTTATGTTTGAACCAGGATGCTCATTTTTCAGATCCTCAATGATTTAGGTTAGTTATCCAATGCAAATAATTTTCAAAACTAAATGCAATAGTTTTAAAAATGAATTACTTTCGGAAGGGAGAGTTCTTCCACAGAAGGAGGACAAACCTGGGGCTGGCCTGTGTGCCTCAACACCAGCCATTAATGCTTCCTCCTTCCCCACTATGCCACCAGCAGCTTTGCTTCTCTGGGTTGGTGAGCCCACATTGAGACCAAAATAACCTAGGTGCCATTTATCCCCCAAACCCATCACCTGGTAGATTGAAGGATTCCAGGAGAATCTTGCCTTCATTACCAAATGCAGCACAAAAGCTTCTATCTCTGCAGCCAAAATGTTTGCTTATTCATCTGCAAGAGGCTCGAGAGCATGATGTTATGGACTTAAACATGGCTTTTGGATGGATGCAAAATGTGGTGGGATAGGATATCTGAGATAGCTCAAACATTTCCCTCAGGGCAAAGTGTTGGGAAGCACTTCTTGGCAGGACACCTCAACACGCGCCTCACAGCATGAAAGACTGTGTAGAAGTAGGGTTGGAGGGTTTTAGAGTTGGCTGGATATGGCCACCGAAAATTGTAAAACATTTCTGGAGCTGTGGAGAAGCATTTTTGCAGAAGGGAAAGTTCTTGTCCAAGCACCCAGTTGGCAATGGCCACGACTGGAAAACGCGAATATACCATCTAAGAACATACTGTACAGCTAAAAAGTAATAAAAAGGACCACTAAAGGAAAAAAGAAAAGAAAACAAAAAAATAACAAGTCTCCTGCTAGAGTATTGGCTTGAGTTTCTAAGATTTGTCATCAGTGTCTGCAGTCCAGAGCCTACTCACTCTTCATTCTTGGCAAAAGTCTCACTGGATTTAGTCAACTCCAGCTCCTTCTCTACTCCAGCTCAGGAATTTGGGCTAGGCACAATGCAAAGAAGAATAGAAATCCTCCCTGTCCAGAGGGAGGGAGACAAAGCCTCCTGCCCCCAGGGGTCCTCTTCCAGTTTCTGTTGGTCAAGACCAGATCCACAGCCCAAGGCTGCATCTGCATGAGGTACAGCACAGCCTATCCATTCCAGACCCTCCTTTGGTGGGCTCCCACAACTCAAGGTCCCTTGCCTTCTCTTTGACTCAGATAACTGGGACTCCTGGCATTTTGTTCCTGTAAAAGCAATCAGCATGTGCTGGCCCCATCACCACCCCAATGCCCTGGGTGATCTGTCTTTCTTTTTTGCTCAGCTGGAGCCCCAGCTCTTTGCTCTCCCCAGAGTGAAAGTGTGCACCAACACCAAGCAGAGAATCTGGTTGCACTGCTGCTGACTGCAAGCTTCTTCTCTCTTTCAGTGACTTCTTTTTATACTCAATAAATCGCCTTTTCATTTGCATATGACTAAACCTTTTTTATCAAACCCGATAACATAACAGGCTGTTTTTTTTTTTCTCCAGTTGGACAAATACATCTTTATATATAGTATCAGTTACAGGAAGTCAGAAAGATTATAATGTGATCACTGACCTTAACCTTTGCTGATTTCTGAAAATTAAGCTAATCCAGTGCAACGGGAGACAGGAAATACCAACAGTGCATCCTGTTGGCCAGCAGAGTTGTCCTAAACCATCCTTTCCCCCCCAGCTGCTCCACACAAATGTGAAGAGATGAGAAGCAAACCCAGGCAGGTAAATCTCAGAGCAGTAAAGGCCTGAGCTGTTTTGCACTGAGCTGAACAAATTTAATTGATTAAATATTCTTTCCCACAGAGAGTGTATTCCCTTTTTCTGTGGGGAAGACAAAAAAAAAAGAGACTGCTAATTTATATAACTGTAAAAATGAAATTAATCAAGTAGGAGCTGTGCTATATAAATGGAAAGCACTATTCTGCAGATGGTGTGATAAATCTGTTTACAAACAAGGATTTAAGTGATATATTATGAATGCAGCATGTTCCCCTGTTTTCCAAGCACAGTATTGTGAAGCTGCACAGCTCCATCCTCAGAGGGCTCCTGGCTTCACCTTCCATCTCCGACCACAGGAGCTTACCAGCAGGTAAATGATGGCTATGTAGTGGAGACAGATAAGAGATTAAAATGGATTGCAGTGCAGTGGTGGAAGTGGTGTCCCCAAGTTCTGGCTGGCAGTGCCCCATCTGCACTCTCAGCACAGCATGGGTGCTGCTCCCTCAGACATGTCCTGGTGCCATCCCTGCTCCCTGCACTTGGACACCCACAGCTCACACTGGGATAAACGCAGCGCCCTGCTGATCTTGCTTCTCATCTTTGGAGCTGGGCTAGAGCTGGTGATGGGGAATGACATCTGCAGAAGTCTGAACGCAAAAGTACTCCTGAGCAGTCAAATTTGAGGAGAGTCATCATAAACGAAATGCTCATCCTCTTGCTCCTGGCAACAGAAGCATTGATTCATGATGCTAACTGCTTGGATCATTGGGTTTGCAAAGCCACATCCATTCAGCCTGGTCCTTTAAACTTTCTTCTTCCTTTCCTTCTGAATCAATACTTTTCTGCAGCACTGTGTGCCCCTCTTTCCTCCTAGTAAAAGCCAGCTCCTAGGGAGATGACATCTGTAGGGGATAAATCAGGGCATGTCGATACTTTCTTCACCCTGGGTTGCTGGAGAGAACAGAGTGCACAGCACAGATTTCAGTTGTGATTATTACACGCCTCCAGGATGCCATGGATCACAGCAAGGACCCGGGAGGACAAAAAAAGGATGATTTTTCAGGACAGCTTGATAGGACTGGGTGGGAAGGAAAGTGAGAAAAGTAACAGATTCAGAATCGCTCATTTTTTGGGAGCAGACCCAATGCCCATACTACTCGACAAAGAGATGCTATTGGGATGAGAATGCCTTTTCAGGATGGCAGACTTCATGCACTGCCTTCATTAAATCACAGCTCTTTACTTCTCTCAGTGAGACCACTGCACATCCTTGGCCATAAGAAAAGCACTTTTGGGGCTGCTCAGGCCCTCCCTCCCTTCTGTGTCTGTTCCTGGTGCTGGAGAAGCTGCTGTGCTTGACTGCCTGCTAATGATAGGCTTTGCTTCTGGGTAGTTCCAGTTTTCACTCCACTGCTGGGAATATGCAGAGCCTTTGTATTTTGCAACATGTCAGTCTACTCAGTCAGTATAAAGAAACAACATCCCGGCTCTGCACTTTCCAAAAACCTGAAAGCCTGATGGGTTTGTTCTTCCTCCTGCTTTCATTTGCACTATTGTGTTTTCCCGTGCGGTATCTGAGCTGCTCAGTGCACACCAACTAATGAAATCATCCTCCCACATGCTGAAAGAGGGGGGCAGCTCTACTTTAGGCACAATTTGACCCCTAGAGAGGACCCATTACTGACAGTAGGAATAAGGGGAGCTCATGTTAAGAATCTGGTGGGAAAGTGAGTCATGCCAGCCAGAGGCAAGATCTGCACAACAGAGGTGGTGGATGCCCTGTCCTTGAAGGCACTCTGGGTCAGGTTGGAGGGGGCTCTGAGCACCTGATGGAGCTGTAGATGTCCCTGTTGATTGCAGGGCAGTTGAACTAGATGACCTTTATGGGTTCCTTCCAACTCAAACAATTCTATGATTCTCTCTCCTGGCCAGATATAAGCTACAGTATCATGTGATACTTTGCAGAAACAAGTGGTTACTGTGTCCACTCAGAATGGATTGGCAATGATGGGGTTAAGCCAGGATTAACTACACTAGTACAAAATAATTACCTGTGCCTGCTTCCTCCCCAGCAAACAAACAAGTAAATAAATCATTAGTCTTCTGCAGGAACCATGCATAAATCACACTAGAGTGAGATGCTCAAGGATGTCTGTGATAGTATCTTCAGAGACATTGAAAGTCTTATTTAAAGCTTGCTCAGATGCCCAGTAACCTATATCCTTTATCCTGGCAAGCCAGGTTTAAAAGAAATCAGTGCAACAGTCAGAAATGGCTGCTGCTACTGAGGAAACACAGCCAGAATCAACACCTGATCCTTCCCTGTCAGCCAAACCAATTTTAAAAGCTTTCCCTGGCAGATGAGAGCGCTGTAGCATCCTCACCTGCTACCACAGGTTTTGGGTCAGTGATGCCACATGCCAGCCAGCACCCATTCCATGCACACAGGGGATGCACTCCCACCTGTGCTGAACACAACCCACAGCA